GTTGGGTTGGGGCGTGAGGGGCTTTGGGGTCTAGGATTCAACCTTTTGGAACATTTGTCCGATCATTTTTTTTCATTTGTCCCACACATTTTGTCTCATACTTCCGTACTATATTAGGTAGTATTATGTGATTCTAAGTCATCATTACTTTATTTAGTTCAACACAGTCAACTTAAATCTTGTTTTAAAGTATGGACTACGGAGTACTACTCCCTCCGGTTTTTAATAAACTTCACACTTTCCTTTTTGGGACGGTCTAAAATAAACTTCACACTTCCTTATTTCCTTTTTTGGTAAAGAAATCTATATCAAAACAGTGCCAAACAGTGTCTCAACAGTGCCAAACAGTGTCTCAACAGTGCCAAACAGTGTCAAACAGTGTCTCAACAGTGTACTCTACAGTAAAGTCAAATTTCTTTCCTTATTTTGTGTGAAGTCAAAGTGTGAAGATTAAATAAAACCGGAGGGAGTATATTTTAGTGAGTCTTGGAAGTCAATATATATATCAAGGGGTATATTTGAGTTATTTACATTTATCTATACTACTACTCGACAATAGTGTTTTTTATTACAAATAAATCCATTTTATAATTCTGATCTGATCAATTGTGATTTTGAATTTACATGTTGATGACAAACATATTTTTATGATATAATTAAATACTACTTCCTTTCTCTTTTAGTTGCAACATGTTAGAAATTTTACAATATTCACATGTTCTATTTTACTATATTTTATTTACTTTTTCGTAAAATATTTTTAAATACTTATTAGAAATTAATTCCACATTTACAATATTACATGTTGAATGTCACATGTTCTACCATATTACAAATTTAATTTTTGATTTTTTTAAATTCCTCTCATTTTAAAATTTCAAAATCCGAAACTTTTATACTTTTACTAATAAGGAATGAAATATAATAATGATCAAATTTGTCCGTTGACAAATGTGAAAATGGAAATGTTGAAAATAAAAAAGAACAGAGGAAATATTTATGAAAATAAAAGTAGTGGACAAAAATGTGATTTCTTCAATGTAGCGATTATAGTAATAACATTTAATTACTATTCTTATGTTTAACATTACTCTTAATTAACCATGACATTACATTCATAGTAATTTTAGTAATACTTTTTTATGTATATAGATTTTGGTTTAGGTGACAAATACATACAATGTGAGAAATATGAATGAATTTTAACTGTTGGATAAACAATATTGCACTAAAACAAGTTTTATGTTGCACTGCGATTTAAGCTTTGCAATGTTGCATTAAGAGATTTACATATTGAACTATGATTTGACGGTATTACACTAAGTATTTGTACTACATACCGACACATTTACGAAAAGAGAATATTACCCGAAATAGGACTAAAAAGATTTAAAAATTTCAAAGTAGGACTGTCATGTTTTTATTCCTAAAATGAAACTAATTACTGCCATATTTTGGTAGTACCAGACTTCAAACATGGGAATATTTTCCAAACTTGACAGCTTGGGAATAAAAAACATGACAGTCTATTTTGAAATTTTCAAACTGTGTTAGTCCTATTTCGGGAACTCTCCCTTACGAAAATGACACCGTATATAGTGACATATTTTAATGCAACATAAATTTCTTTAATTTTACTTAATTCAACAGACTCGCAGTCTCCCATCCAACAAATGAGATTCATTTTCATTTCTTATCTAAATGTTTCTTTTTATTCGAACCTCATAAGAAGAAATTCCGGACACTCATAATACTATATACTTCCTCCGTCCCGCTATTAACTTCCTACTTTTCTTTTTGGGCCGTCCCAAAATCATCTTCTCATTTCCCTAAACGGAAAATTATCCTACATCAAAACAGTGTCAAACAGTGTCTAAACAGTGCCAAACAGTGTCTAAACAGTAAAGTCAAATTTATTTCCTAAATATGTGTGTAGGTCAAAGTAGGAACTTAATAGAGGGACGGAGGGAGTATATACAAGTAATACAACTATGATGAAATGCTAGTTGTAGCAAATGAAACTTAGCTTTCAATTAGTCCATAGGGATTATATTACAAATATTCCCAGCTGGCATTGCAGCTCAATATAGTAAACCTAATCTCTTTTCACTTTCCTTCACCGTCATTATCGATTTATTTATTTAACATAAATGGCACCTGACATCATAGTTGATTTAATGGAATGAGTTGTTTCAATAGTTGAAGTATTTAAAATATTACAACGTACATACTCCCTCCCTTCTCCATTAGTTGGTCCTATAGAGTTTGACACAAGTTTTAAGAGGAAAATAATAGGGGTAATTTAAAAGGTGTAGTGAGTTGTGTTTAAATGAAAAAGTAGGAAAGAGAATGAAAAAGTAGGAAAGAGAATGATGGTAAATATGTATATTTATTGAAAAAACTTTCCAAAAACGGAAAGAGAGACAAATATTAGAAAACAATTCAAAATAGAGAGAGAAACAAGTATTAGAGAACGGAGGGAGTATTAAAGTACATTATAGTTTAAATATTAATCATTTCTATTACCCAAATTCACAATTGTGGATGTTGGAAAAATAGATCAAATTCACTAAACGGTAGCATGAACAAGAAGAAGGTGTTTAACAAATTATACGGAGTAACAATCAATTTAATTGTTATGTGATGTCATTATTGCAACATTACAACGTCAAAGTTAAATTACATGAAATTATTATTGAACGGTATAAGAACTATTTTTGTAAACGGTCTGCAAATCGTGTTGTTCATGCTCTTGCTCGGGCACACGTCCACATCTCAAATCAGGAGCACGCTTATTGTAAGCCAGTTTGCTAATGATTTGATTGATTAATAATACGTTTTGGATTGATGATAAAAAAAAACTATTGATCATAAACGTAAATAACTCATTAATATGTTGTACGTAAATAACTGATTACTATGTACTATATCGCTTATAGTTTAGAATTTTAAAAGAAAAGTTGTACTACGCGTTACTTATATCTCAATTGTGGTTAATTAGATTTACTTTGGGGGAGATGAAGCGATCCAGCCCAGTTGGTCGTCGACTCACTCTCCCTTATGGGAGGTCTCGGGTTCAATTCTCAATAGAGTGAGATTGATCCCAGTTTACCTTAGCCCCCCAAACCTCCTCCCCTGACGCCCCATGGGGTTAAAAAAAAGATATACTTTGGGGGCGTAGGCGAAAAAATTACTCCCTCCGTCCAGCTAAGATTGTCCCATTTTACCTTTTCGGGAAGTCCCACTAAGATTGTCCCATACCAAATTTGGTAAAGATTGTGTGGCTCTAAACCATTCTTACTTTGTTCTTACTTTATCAATTTTATATCAACCACACAAACCCACTTTTCTTAATAATCATGTCACCTTCTTTCGTTCCAATCTTAGAGGGACGGAGGTAGTATTACTCTAAAGTCCGCATTCAATATGGAATATTAATTAAATACTTATGCAATGATAGCTATGGAATATTAATTAAATACTTATGCAATGATAGCAACGGTCAAAACATCTCTAACAGTTAGCTAATTGCCCTCATAGTTTGACTAGGCACAAGCATATGTGGCAAAATTAAAATATATTCCAATGATTAGATATAACTATTTCCTTTTCATTTATTATTTATAATGTTATATTTAATAATTGTCCTTGCTCATTTAAGATAACTCATTTAAGATAACTAGCTTTCTCAAGCAAAAGTAAAAGAAATATTACAATGGTTAGCTATTAACTTTCAAATTGCAAGCTAGTAAAAGAAATATTACAATGGAGATGCTTTAAAGACACCACTTAATACAAATGAGGTGACATTTGTACTACTTAGTTGTTAATTATCCAGTTTTAGAAAGAACTTTATATTTATTCAATTTTTATGTGTAGTAAATTTTAATTTACATTTTTATCTTGTTTTCTACTCCGTAACTCATTACATTTCTGTCCTTTTTATATTACATTAAATTTTAATGTACTTATTATAATCGGTTTATATCCATACAAGAGTTATTTCCATGATCTTTGTGAAAAACTAATCGGAACAAATAATATGCTGAGAAGTATTGATGAACTAATGGCCGAGTGATCATCAACTTGTCCTCTCGAAAGGACTACTTGGATGACTATATCTCGCCATTAACACAAAGCATGTTAAACTAATTTTCAACTGACCTTAATGAATCTAACTATTCTATCGGTAATACTTTAATATTTTTTGCAGAATCCAACTGAATAAAACTTTATAAATTTGAGTAAATTCAAACGTATTCGGTCAATTTTAACAATCCTAGATTTCTACATGTGCTCTCAATTAAAAACAAAAGTGCATCCCACGACCTAATGGGTAGGCGTGACGACCAAACCGTGTTTGAGTGAGTAAATATCAAATAGATGAGGTGAAATTGTGGATAAAAAGTTTTACTTTATTACATAACTTTTGCACTTTTTGTATCACATAAGTCAATTCGTATAGATAAGTGTTAACGGATATCGGTAAATGGACGTAACTTAATTGGTTGATAATGTTGAGAAGTTATTATTTAAAAAAATATAGAGCATCTCCAAGTATTTGAATTGTAATTTCATTAGTAATTTGTTTGTGATTAAAGTCTAATTTACATCTTGCATGTTAACTATTCCACCGATTAAAGTATCTAATGCAGCATGAATGCATCATTAATATTTGGAAAAAGGGTCAAATATACACTCGAACTTACATAAAAAGGTAAAAAAAAACGCAATTATTTTCAAGAATTCATTTGAATGCCTTCCCGATTGAATTGTCAGCTGAAATTTGGTATGATTAAACTAGACTTAATGAATAAGATGCTAAAAAAAATTCATCAAAAAATTCCACCGGGAACTGCCCTAAATGGTGACGTCCGGACAAAATCTCTTATATAAGGACTTATTTGACCTTTTTATGTAAGTTTGAGGGTCTATTTGACCATTTTCGCTTAACTCTTTATAAAAATGAAAGAATGATAGGAGAGAGTATAGGTAAAAAATCTAGCTGGAGCCTGGAGGTACTAAACAAGATGGGAACATGACATATGTTGGACTTTTGTGGGCTCTTTCACAGATCCGACCGACCAAACAAAATCAACCTCATCACATCTATTCTTTCTTTCTTTCTTTCAATTCAACTCTGCATTTCCTTTCTGCGGATTCCTGTGGAATCCATTTCTTTCAATTCGAGCTCACAAAAATGTCGACCCACCATGCCAAGACGGATTCCGAAGATACCAGCCTGGCCCCTTCCTCGCCGAACCGGGCGGTCTACTACGTCCAGAGCCCGTCCCGAGACTCCCACGACGGCGAGAAGACCACCAACTCCTTCCACTCCACCCCCATCCTCAGCCCCGCCGGCTCTCCCGGCCGCCACTCCCGCAACTCCTCCTCCACCAGATTCTCCGGCTCTCTCAAACCCGGCTCCCAGAAGTCCACCAACGGCTCCCGCCACCACCACCACATTAAGACGGAGAAGCAGTGGAAGGAATTCGGCGCCATTGAAGAAGAGGGACTCCTCGATGAAAGCAGTCGCCGGACCGGCCTCCCGCGCCGCTGCTACTTCCCGGCGTTCGTCGTCGGGTTCTTCCTCCTCTTCGGCTTCTTCTCTCTGATCCTGTGGGGTGTTAGTCGCAATCAGAAACCTCTACTTACCATGAAGGTAATCAATAATCATTAATCAACAATCAAATCAAACTTTACGCAATTTTGATTTGAATTAATAATTGATTCTTATTCCTGAATCGAATTGAACCACTCAATCCGAATGCCCAATGCTTAATTCTGTAATATCTTCATCAAAATCAACGATTCGAAAATGAAATTGAAAATATTTGCAGAGCATCTCTTTCGATCAATTTGTGATTCAAGCCGGAATGGACCACTCCGGCGTCGCGACGGAGATGGTGTCGATGAACTGCACCGTCAAGTTTGTGTTCCGTAACGAAGGAACGTTTTTCGGGACCCACGTAACGTCTACGCCGTTAGATCTCTCATATTCCGAGCTCACCGTCGCTACAGGAACGGTAAGATAACTTTCCGTCAATTCGGATTTCTGCTAAATGAGAGGTTTCATTGATGTTGTTTGTTTTTCAGATTAACCAGTTCTATCAATCGAGAAAGAGCCAGAGGACGGTAACGGTGACGTTAAGAGGGAACGGGATTCCGTTATACGGCGGCGGTGCTGACCTGACGAGCAATGACGGAAAGCCGACGGTGCCGGTGCCGTTGACGTTGAGATTTAAGGTGAGAGCAAGGGCTTATGTGTTGGGCCAGCTGGTGAAGCCCAAGTTTTATAGAAGGGTCCAGTGCTCGGTTGTTTTGGATCCAAAGAAGATGAATGTGCCCATTAAGCTCAAGAAAAGCTCTTGTACTTATTCATAATGAGTCACGTTTGATTTTTTTGTTATGTACTATAAATGTAGTCGTTTCCATTAGGATAGATGGGGGCAAATAATCTCTATGTCCGACATTTTTGGTTTTCCTTTCTTCTTTTGAAAAATCGGATGCATTGGTCTGAGTAAAGCCCATGGATTTTCGGTCAATTTGAGAATTTGTCACTTACTTTTGTTAGGTTTTGAATATTTTCACTTTTGGAGTTTCTGCATTTTGAGTATTAAAGTGATACTTTTCACAGTAATCAGAATGTTAAGCATAAGTGGCGAAGGAACATGGAGATTGGAGACTAGATGTGTGCCAGTTCTGTCGAGAGTTTGGATTGCTCCACTGTTCTATCGTGTTCCCGTATCGGTCACCTCCACTTGCTTGCGCAGCCACGGTAGCAGCTACTACGAGCCCTCTGTCGCACACATCTAACCAGTTGAGATGCGTAATCTTTGTGCGATGGCAGATGAAAGTAATTGAACAATACCAGCCCAGATGGTTGCTTGTGCTAGTGAACTCTATGGCTGAACAGGTGAAGACTGAAGACTAGTCTGATGCTAAATGTATGAAAATGTTGGTACCCTAGGAATCATGCCTTTCATGAAAAGGGAGAGCTACCATAGCTCACTCAAACTTTATTTTTTTTTCCTGAAGAGCTGTGGAGAAATTTCGGTGTCGGTGCGACTTCAGAACTATGACTGGAGGAATTACAGAACCCGATTGGAGGAGTGAAGAAGCGGGAGAAATGGACACCTCCCAGCAAGGGGTGAGCTAAAGTCAATTTTGATGGCGCATTTGCTATGGAGATCGGAATCAATGAGCATTGGCTTCGATGTGATAGATTGCAAAACTCGTAAATCAATCAAGATGTGTAGTGAAGTGGTTGAAGTTGAAGTTAGTGCATTTTCCAGTTGCAGCAGAAAGAAAACACAAACTACATTGAAATTGGACAATGCTGAGGTGATCTAGAGTCTCTGGACGATCATGGCTACTTGAGCATCTTGGACTCTGTTGGTTCAGGAAATTAAGAGCCCGTTTGATAGTTTACACATTAAAACTTTACATGCAAAATGATTACACGTAAAGTGTAGGGCTGTAATTAGTTTGCACGCAAATTAACTAATACAAGTACATTGTTTGGTGATCTATATATTCTACTACACGCAAACTCTAACCAGTGTTTGTTTGGAAAATACATTAAAATATATACGAAAGATAATAAAGCCCATTTAACAAAGCGGCATGTGTGTGAAGAACAACTGGGTGACCATTTTCATTGCGTTGTTCCCCACCAGTGATAAGTTTGTGATCTTTGTCAAACAAATATATTACTCCGTATGGTTTAATCCGTACATAATTTATGTATATTAAAAAAAATCAAACAAATATGTATATGATAATAACAAGAAACATTTAAAGTTGGAGAAACAAAAAGTCACAATTTAAAACTTTCTGTTTATCACAATCACAGAAAATTTGAAACCAAGCAACGACAGAACATGTATTTATATTCATCAACGTGGCTTTCTAATAAATTAGTGCAGTGTGTGGAAATTGACCTCTTGTAGTCTTGTAACGAGGACTTTATTTCCGGCAATCCGGCTATGTCGAAATTGTAATGAGATATGGTGTTTATTCTCCCATTTTAACGGATGCAAACCATTTTACTACCCTCTCCCACATAAAATATTTTACATGGTACAATGTAAATTGTTTTTAAAAAAGTGTTCTACAGTTTACATTAATTAATTAAAACAAATGGTGTAAAATGTTTACATCCTCACACTTTGCATGCAAAGTGTTCACTTTACACCTTACCAAACGGGCCCTAAGAGTATTTGCGGTCGGCTTGTTACTTAAGTTGCCATGGTGAGTAACAAGTAGCCCAGGAATTAGCTAACTCATAATGAGAGCGGGACATTGTGAGCAGTGAGTTCTTCATGGCCCTCGTGCCATCTTGAAGTTCATAAACTAAGAATGTGTTCCATATGGTGTTGAACTCTTGATTAATAATATCCTCTCTCTTTACCCTAAGAAAATGTTAAGCGTGTGAATTAAACAAAACATCAAGTGTTATATTGAAGTCTTCTTACTCCTAAAAGGTTTCAAATGTTATTTTTTACGACCTTCATCCCCAAAAGTTAAAACAACCTCTTACATTCTTACATTCTTTATTTAGGTGTTCCGAAATAAACTTATGTCAAAAGTAACCTTTTAATAACAAATGTCAAAACAACTGTGTATTACAGAGTACTTTTTAGTTTTTACTTATTTTTCACTTTTACATAAAATATGGATATTATGGGAAAGTCTAGTTTTACACTTTTACATACATGAAAGGGTAAGGGTCAGATAGACCCTCGAACTTATATAAAAAGGTCAAATAAGCTCTTATATAGGAGGCTCTGTCCGGCCATCGCCATTTGGGGCGGTTCTCGGTGGAATTTTTTGATGATTTTTATAATCTTATTCATTAAGTCTAGTTTACTCATACCAAATTTCAGCTAAAATTTCAATCGGGAAGGCATTCAAATGAATTCTTGAAGATAACTGCGTAGTTAAAAGCACAATTATCTTCAAGAATTCATTTGAATGCCTTCCCGATAGAATTGTTAGCTGAAATTTCATATTATTAAACTAGACTTAATGAATAAGATGCTCAAAAAAATCATCAAAAAATTCCACCGGGAACTGCCCCAAATGGCAACGACCGGACAGAACCTTCTATATAAAACCTTATTTGACCTTTTTATGTTAGTTTGAGAGTCTATCTGGCCCTTTTCCCGACATGAAAATACGGAGTACATGTCAATCAAAGTGAGAATTTGTTTCCGGGATAAGGCGAGTATTAAAAAAAGAACAATCTTCGCTCCTTTCATTGGGGAATGTAGTACTACAGCTTCTTTATACACAACACCCGTCCCCGCACATTGAGTTAGCTTATTAATTGTTTTGATTGAAATTCAAACTCGACCCATGGGTCTTTTTAAATAAATTCAATTTGACTCGTAAATCTCTGTAAGAAACTTGATTGCATCAGTCTCAATATCTAACATAATCTCTAAGTATTTTTGGGGATGAGGCAATTTGAGGATTTAACATTTTAGCCCTTTAAAATTTATGTAAAGAAGTAGTTGTGTATATGATTTAAGTATATATGTTTACGGATCAGCTATATATCTTTCTACCTCTTAATTCATGAGGTCAATTTTAGCATTGGACATCACAGCAGATTTGTATTTCTCAAAAGAGGTAGTTGCAAGAAAGGAATTTATAGAATATTAATGATGTTCTTCATGCACATCTATTGCGAACACAAGCACGTCTAGAACTAAGAAATAAGTATCTAAATGATACTCCGTAATAAAAAAAACCCAACACTAACTCCCCGAAATTGATTGACAACCAAACTCATATGTTTGACTAAAATTCAATCCAGTTTTACAATTATCATCGTTGATTACCTGAAGTGTTTCACAAAGATCTACACTATTTTACCAGTTGCCCAAATTATTAAAAGGTTGATCTTTTAAACTAAGAATAACATAATAAATCATCTAAAACGTACAAAACTTCATAGTGTCAATTGTTTTAATGAATTTTTAATCATTAAAAATGCTTCCGGTACACACTATTAAAGTTTTTTCCCAAACCCATTAGTCTCATCCTCTTTATCCTTTTCTCTCCCCTCTTATCTAGGGGTGGACTCGGGCCGGTTCGGGCTCGGGCCGGGCCTAGACCCGGTCGGGCTTCCGGTTCAGGAATGGGGGGCCCGGAACCTGTCCGGGTAACCCCCGGTTCCGGGTCGGGCCGGGCCTCGGGCCTTAGCTATTTTTTTCTTTTCCTAGTTAACCCCCAACCCTCCCCCTCACCCCCAAACCACCCCAAATGGCCTAAAATACCCAGCCCAACCCGAAAAGGAAAAAAATTAAAAAAAAAAATAAAAAGGCCCGGAACCGGCCGGGCCGGTTCATGATTTGGGGGGCCCGAGCCCGGCCCGGACCCCCAGCGGGTCGGGCCAACCCGGACCGGTCACTGACCGGGCCACCGGGCCGGAACAGTGCCGGTTCGGGCCGATTCCGGGTCGGACCACCCAGCCTGAGTCCACCCCTACTCTTATCTATTCGGCTATTCCCTGCTCATTCTTACACTCCTCTGCGCCTCTTCTTCTCCCTTTCTTTATTCTTTTCATTCTTCTCCAACTTCCCTCCTCTAAATCCATATTTTTAGAGAAATTATCACCCTCCAGTTCCACTATATGTCTCCTTTTCCATTTTTTGACCCACGTTTTTCTCACAAGACCTTGAGGTAATAATTTATTCCGATTTTTTGAACATATAGGGTTATATTTTTTCCTTTTTTTTTTAATTTTATGGATACAATATATGTTGTGTTGATGTTGATGAATGCTTATTACATTGTAATATCAGTATGGATTTGTTATAATTTAAATTTTTATTCAACTATTATATTTCACTTTTTTGCCTATAAGGTGTTTGTTGAAATGTTTCAATGAACTCTTTTATTATAATCACAATTTGTTTGTTATTTCTCCTCTTTTGTGATTATGTCTGTATGCTTGATGGATTTTAGATATTATTCAGGTAATAATGAATTCCATTTTTGGTGATTTATTTGTTTTCATGATTTTATTATAGGCAAAATTGATATAAAAAAACAAAATAATCCATATTTTTACCAATTTAAACAAAAATACTCCCTACATCAAATATTTACACCATTAATCCAAACATCCTATATGACTACTGGAAATACAATAAAAGAGACGGAATTCTTCTTCTGTCTGAACTGCCGTTCACAGCCCCAACGAATCCCAGTAAAAGAGAAGGAGATCTACCTTCTTCTCCGTCTTCTTAGCATTTGAATCTCCGGCTCTAAGATCTAAATTTCTTAATCAACACATGGCCGCTTGCGATTGTTATGAAATTTCTTCAAGATTCAGCCCCTCTGAAACACAATCATCGAAATGAAAAGTGAGCTGCAATAATGGAGTTTCTTCTCCGTATGAGAAGGTGTCCTTAGACCATTTGGAGTGGTGCAAGAGTCTTGTTAAAAATGAACTCCGTCGATATGAATACAGTGTTTTGACTCCTATTCTCTGCATTCCAGCACCGTCAATAAAATACATTCAATACATTTTTTTACATATCAATTTAGTAAAACATTAATTAAATTATTATAAGTAATGTTTTCCTTTAATTTTTTTCTCTGATTAATTATAAAATAAAAAAAGACACATTTCGATGTAAAAATAAATAAATTTCATTAAAAATAAATTTTGAGAAAAATATTAATTAAAAATAAGTGAAAAATAAAATAAATTATTTCAACCGTTGGATTTAAATTTCAGCCGTTGGATCATTTTTTTTCGTTCAAACAGTGTCAAAATCATCACAGCCGTTGGATCTACCAAAAAGTTTTTTTTTAAATAAATTTGGTAGTGCATGCTGACCTCATGCTGACATGAACATGACATCAGCGAGGAAAATTACTCAACTAAGCCGTGTGCTCCCAGCCCTGCGCACATCAGGTACGCCCCCACCCCTTTTTCTTTTCTTTTCCATTTACTTTTTGGCTGTCCAAAACTCCTCCAAATTTAACCCCTTCCCTCCCCAAACCCATTTTTAATACCCTCTACACTCCACCAATGTATGAAATTAGGAGTCCAAAAATGCCATTTTCACATTTTGGACTCCTAATACCTCACCACTCCAAATGGTCTTAGGGCCAAACTTATCACTCAAAGTGCAGTGAATCATTTTTTCAAAATAAGCCAAAACCGAAGTATGTCGGTATGCACCAGTATTATTCCCTCCGTCCCGTTGGAATGTTCCCGGTTTGACCTACACACATATTAAGGAAATAAACTTACCAGGGGGTAAATTTTACTGTTTTGACACTGTTTGGACACTGTTTGGCACTGTTTTGCACTGTTTGACACTGTTTTGATGTGGGATAACTTTCCATTTAGGGAAATGAGAACTTCTCTTTGGAACATCCAAAAAAGAAAAGCGGGAACATTCCAACGGGACGGAGGGAGTATTTAATAAAAATTCAACCTCTTATCCATCAAGAATTATATTTACAAATAAATAGTGGCTGAAATTTTTCTGCAAAGTTTCAGTGTTAACACTC